CTAGCCCAGTGGTTGGTACATGAAAGTTGATCAAGAAAGAAGTTTTAACTATGGAATGAATTTCTTATCATTCCTGCCACCTCCTTCAGCACTATGTTATTCTGCACTTGGAAACATGAGGTCGGTATCAGTTCTTGGTATACCTATTTTCTCTTAAACCTAATAGCGAGCGCCTCAAGGTCAGGGACAGTGTGATTATTTCTGGGCCCTCCTCCACAACACACTTATCTATAAATGGTGGATGCTCTTTCACACTAGTGACTAGTGTGATGTAGATCCCAACGAAAAAGCTGTAACATGTCTCCTCTGCATAGAACTTTTATTTCCCTCACATACCACACTCCCAGCATTTTACGTTATTCTGAGATAATGTCCAAGCTTCCTGAGACCACTCAGCTAATCCTTAAGACTGCGCTCTTTCAGTCAATTCAAAATAGAAACGTTTTCTGCAGCAACTATCTTTTTTGGGGGGCTCGTCCAGGAGAGCAATGATCTTAAAGCATGGCGGCATCTCAATTGGTTAGGGAATGGCCACATATCATCCTGATCTCATCCCATTGTCACTACACTGTAACCAAGTGGAACCCAACTGTCAAGAATCTTCAACCAATCTGAATGTTCCAAAGAGGAAAATGGCCTACAAACCAAATTAATCAACTTGGTCACAACTTGTCCTTCAGGTTATGAAAATCCAGAGGATTTGGGGAATGGGGTAGGGAATGGATGAAATACTAGGTAAATATTAATTCCACGGATGCTAATTCCAGCTTCTTTCATCCTTGTCACTTTGAGTCCTGACTTACTAGAATTATATATGTAGCACAACCACCAAAAGAATGACAAGGTCTGCATTCATCAACGACACAAGGACACTGAAAGGCAGCACAGCACCATGGTTCAATGCATGGACTGGACAGCCAGACTACCTGGGTCCGAGTCCCAGAACTCCAATTGTGACTGTGGACAAGGTACCAAAAGGGAGCTAAGTATCCATAAAAGAGGAGTGGTAATAGTATCTGCCTCACAGGGTTGCTGTTCAATATAAGTTGATGCTTATAACAGCATATGGTAAACTCCCAATAAACATAAGCTTTTTTATTACATCTGTCTTATTTCACATTGAATATCCGAGCTGAAGTTGTTATTTCAAACCACTTTTCTCCAAATTCAACTCTTCCCTACTGTATTCCCTGCCCACCCAGTAGCTCAGCTCAGAATGCAGTCAGTGAGCTGCTAAGACAACCCCATGGGGTTGCTAATCCGCCATGTACACTTCTGATTCACCCCAGTTCCATGAAAGCCTCTAAAATTTCTATTTTATCTACTGTTGACTATAAATTCTGCCCTTAGGCAAATTCCTTCTGAAGCATGTGTACACCCTTTCCCTATGGTACAGAAGCCCTGGGTCTGTGGGGTAATGGCATGGGGCCGCCCAAAACATGGCTTCTGCTTTAAGTCCCTAGTAAACGTTTCTGAGAAACTGGATTTCTCAGCTACCTTCTCCAGCTGCTCACTCCCTCTGCCTTTGGGGAAAGTCTGCATAGACCTGCTCACTGTGGAACAGTCAGGCATGACCCCCTTCCTCCTCTTTTCCTCATTTCTCACATTCAGATAGTTCCAGGAGACAGGTTCCCAGGGCCTCCACACTCTTATGCCTGAAACACCTCCCATTTGCTCACCTCCTGTCCTCACTGCCCTGGTCACATGAGTCACTCCCTTACGAGGGCTAGTCACCTCCCTGCCTCTAGTCTCACCTTCTTTAATCCATCCTTCACCCAGCTTTCTAAAGTGTAGATACCACATTCTGTAAAAACTTTTCTTGGACATATTACATACCATAAAGTCCAGCTCCCTTATCCTGGACTTGAAACTTCTTCCTACGTGGCTCTAGGCACTACCTCACATCATGTATGTTTGCTTAGCAGGTTGAAAATATAATTGTCACCGGGCTCGGTGGCTCAGCCTGTAATCCCGTGCTTTGGGAGGCTGAGGTGAGTGGACTGCCTGAGCCCGCGGGTTCGAGACCCAGCTGGGCAACTTGGCGAG